GAGAGAGAGAGAGAGAGAGAGAGAGAGAGAGAGAGAGAGAGAGAGAGAGAATATCGTGAATCCATTCATGCACGTCAATGATTAGATGACGGAGCATTTGGCTACCTTAAGACAATCATAGTTACTCTGGCCGTCTATCCACGCTTTGTTCAATCTCTTCACTTTGACACTCAGCGAGAGGTGGAGAGAGAGAGAGAGAGAGAGAGAGAGAGAGAGAGAGAGAGGGAAACTTGTTAATCCATTCATGCGCGTCAATAATTAGATGACGGGGCATTTGACTATCTTAAGAGAGTTGTAGTTAATCCTGCCGTTTACCCGTGCTTGGTTGAATGAACTTGAATCTCTTCACTCTGATGTTCAAAGCGCTGGGCAGAAATCACATTTCGTCAGCATCTGTGAGGCAGTGGGAATCTCGTTAATCCATTCATGCACGTTACTAATTAGATGACGAGGCATTTAGCTAGCTTAAGAGAGCCATAGTTACTCCCGCCTTTTACCCGCGCTTGGTTGATTCTCTTCACTTCGACATTCATAGCACTGGGCAGAAATCACATTTTGTCAACATCCATCGGCTCCATGCCAATGCTTTGTCGGATTTCCTTTGTGCGGACCGGTTCCGTCTCTCTCTCTCTCTCTCTCTCTCTCTCTCTCTCTCTCTCTCTCTCTCTCTCTCTCTCTCTCTCTCTCTCTCTCTCTCGCGCGCGCGCGCGTGCGCACGTAACGACGTCGTCCTGTCCGTCGCCTCGCGCTAGTCGCTGCATGCCAGTTCCCGCTTCGGCCCCGCCTGTTACCTCGCTTGCTGCTTTAGCCCCGCTTTATGCCGAGCCCATCTGAATTTTCCCCGACTCCAGGCGACGGTCGACCCCGCATCGGCCTGTCTGATCGGGTCGGGCTTTCCCCCATGCCGTCGGCCCATCGTATTCGGTCGGCCCTTCCCCCACGCCCTGGATCTTCAAGCAGTCCCGCACTGTGCTGCCCAGTTTCTGTTGAGCCCCACCTGGGGCCCTTTGCATGCGTTAGTAGTACAGTGAAAAAGAAAGTACAATGGAGCCTAGGCTCAGAAAAACTGGGTGCGTAGTGAAATTCAAGTTCGACAAAAACAGGATCTGAGGTAGTGGTGGCTTAAACCTTTCCTACTCATGTAGCTACGCATAGATTTATCATCAACTAATGCGCCTACTCCCGTCCTACTAACTTCTATATTTGCTACAATGAGCTGGCCTTTTGCGGCATACTGCGTAGCCACACGGGCCTGCAGGSCCCGTCCCGCATTCTCAGCCTAAAAGCCTAGAAAATAGGGCTTACAGGCCCCCATGTCGTTTCAGCCTGAAACTGAAAACGAGGGCCTGCAGGCCCTATTTCGTTTTCAGCCTATATCAGGGCTTTTCAGCCCTGAGGCTTTTCAGCCTGAAACGGAGGGCCACTTTCGGGCACTCATAAGATCGACCTACCCTAAGACTCGGGCACAAAAACAGGGTTTTGGGAACATGCTATTTCTGGCCTGTTCCCCACGACAGCCTCGAGCAGGAGCTGCAGCGGCAGCCCCTGACTSCCTTCGGCATTGGCAAGAGCAGCCTCCTGGACTGCCTCGCCTGCAGCCAGGAGGTACCCGAGTAGTACATAGGAAGTTCCCATGCACTTCACGGGTAGGTAGTTGGACAGTAGGCACGAGTAGTCTTCAGGATTCAGCCGCAGCACTCAGGAGGAGCGCTGGCAATAGTAGTTAGCGCTAGCAGTAGTCTTCA